CGTATCTTTCGCTAATTTTTTAGTAACCGACAATTTTGAAGCCAATTAAATTTGGGAAAAATACAAAAATAAGTTACAGTTACTTGGGGTGCTTTGTTGAATAGGTTTTAGTATCACTGATCTCGATCACGCTACCCTGAACCTGAAGGGGAACTCACGATAATCCAGCACCCCGACGTGAGAGGCAAGGGGAACTCACGATAATCCAGCACCCCGACGTGAGAGGCAAGGGGAACTCACGATAATCCAGCACCCCAAAAGGAACAGAATCCTTCTACGTCCACGTCGTTGTTCCTGGATAGCGCTAAAAGAAGGATTCTGGATCGAGAAACTAGTTTTCTTGTTTAATAATCAAAATAGACACATTTTTGGAGTTTCGATATAAATATACTGTTAATCTTTATTTGACCTCCAGAGGTCACGTCGACCTTGGACCTCAAGGCATATTTTAACGTAAAATTTGACTCTCTTTCAATTGCCGATGTCAAAAGTGTGGGTTCCCATTTAACAAAAGAAATTTGACCTTGAAATTACCTTGAAGGTGAGGTCCAAGGTCAAATTCAAGGTCATCACTGGATTCATCGTTGAAAGTTACATAAGACCTGACGTTAACAATTTTATTTTTACGACCAACGCTCAGATTTTCAGGGGTTTCCATACTTTTTCCGACATTGACCTCTATTTGACCTCCAGAGGTTACTTTAACCTCATACCTAACCACGTATCCGGACGTAAAATTTCCCGCTCATTTTGATTCCGGCATCAAAAATAGGGGTTCTCATTTGAAAAAATGAGGTTGACCTTGAAATGACCTTGATGGTAAGGTCCAAGGTCAAATTCAAGGTCATTACTAGATTCCTCGTTGAAAGTTATATAGGACCTGACCTTAAGAATTTTATTTTTATGACCAACCCTCTGAGATTTTCAGGTGTTTCCATACTTTTTCACCACCCTGTATATTAAGATTTGATTTTACTTCACTCTGAGATATTTTTATGTTTCCTTAGTACTTATTAAATGGGTATTCCCCTATCCACTACTTATTTTAGTGTTGAAAAAATTATAACTGAAAAAAATATAGTGTTTAAAAAAATTAAATTATACAAAAAAATATGTCATAAAATGACATTATAAAAAAATGAATGACGTAATTCAATATCGTAAAAAATAAAACTTCGTAAAACAAGAAAATAAAAAGTTAAATGTGAAACAAAATATAGAATGTCGTAATACAACAATATGATAAATTAAACGTCGTAAGACGACAAGATAGAAAAAAAGCATATCTTAAAACAACGCCATAAAAAAATGTCCTAAGACGACACCATACAAAGTAAAATATTCTAAAATGACAACATAAAATTCAGAAACAAAATTCCGGTTTCGGGTTTCTGAGCCCGCATCGGAGGCTTCCATAGGTGGTGGATAGGGGAATACCCATTTTATAAAATAAGCACTAAGGAAATATAAAAATAGCTCAGAGTGAACGAAAATCAGAACTTAATATAGAATCAACAATAATTATATGATAACTCATGTCTACACGAAAAAAAAAAAAAAAAAAAAAAAAAAATTATCTCAACTTTTGAACAGACAGGTCTATTTCCATGTATTTTTTGACGCCGAATGCAAATTTGTAAAATATGTAGAGACTTTTCAGGAACGGTATGTTTCGTCATGTTAACACTTTCGATCGACAACTGATGAACGATAGACATATCTCATTTCTTTTATAACCACCAAATTATCGGTTACTAAAAAATTAACAAAACAAAATTCATACATTTAACGTTCATATAATATTAGTTATCTTTATTTTCTTTTAAATCTTCTGTAACTTATTTTTGTATTTTTCCCAAATTTAATTGGCTTCAAAATTGTCGGTTACTAAAAAATTAGCGAAAGATACGTAATTTGAAGAAAATGACATTATTGTACATACTTTATTGAAGGTAATATATATTGAAATGTCATCTACAAATTCTGTTGTTAATAATTAATTATTTATTTACTATAATAAATATTTTATAAATAAAATTAACGCTACTTGACATTAAGTATTAACGTTTAAGTAATGGGAAAAAATGGGCAAAATGGATAAAACTGGGTCTAATGGCTAAAAATGAATGAAAATCGGAGAAAATCAAACTACATTAAAATAACGTAAAAAATTAAATAAAAACACCGTTAAAATAGGTAAATGTATGGATACAGTATGGATGATAATGGGTGCGTCTGAGGAATCACACCTGTGTTATATATATATATAATTTATGATTCCGCGTCCTCAAAAGGGGAACTCAATTGACAGTTAACTAAATCGATATAATATCTTGAGAGACAGTCCTTAGAATTCCTTCAATAAATCAAAACAACTTGATTATATGATATATAGTACACGAAATTATTTCATCGTTATTTTGCATTGTTAAAAAGTATAATGTTAAATAAAATTAACTTAAAACAAATGTAAGTTAAAAATACAAATTATGGTTTATAAAAACTCTTAATGCAATTAGTCTAATTGAAAGAAATAATGTTGGTTTGTTAAAAATTGATGACAAATGATAATTAATGAATAATACATATAATGCAACCTACGATTGTTTTAAAATAAAAGATTCTTCTAATTAATTTACAATTATAAAATAGTAAGTAGCCTTGTATGAACAAAAATAAAATAATAGCGTCATTAACAATGCTCAGTTTAGTCCTCGAGATGTATCTCAAGGTAGCGTTCTAAGCCCAACAGTATACCTGTTATACACCTCAGACTTATCAAAGTCTCCTTACATCAGACAGTAATTAACGCAAATGATGCAGCTATTTTAACATCACACCTAGAGGTAACAATAGATTTTGAAACATAATAAAATTACATAGATAATAATTATGTTTAAAATTAGTTCAACTCATGGAGAAGTAGTAAATGAAAGCAAATAAATCTATACGACGTTCATACTATGAAAAGACATCTGTCCAACTATTAAACTTAATGATAAATATTTGCCACAAAGCAATCATGTATAGTACGAGTACATTACGATACAAGTGTAAACTGTATGTGCATTAAAACATGTGCCGTACCGTATTTTTTGATACGACGTGTGGAAAGTGCGATTTTCAACGCACGTCTTTTGCCGAGTATGCGGGAAAAACGCAATTTCCATACGGAGTGTCGAAAAAATATTTAGGTATAGTATTCGACCGGCAGTTCACATGGAAATAATATATTCACAAAACGCAAACAGTTGGAGAGAACGCAATATGAAAAAAATGTACTGACTCATCTATGGAAAATCGGAGCTATCAAAACATTGCCGTAAAAAGTTACACTCAAATTAGTTTGGACTTCTCAAGACATTCATTATCAACACTAGACTCAAGAAACATAAACTAGTGAATATATAAATGAATCCTAAATTATTTGACACGCACATCTTAAAATAATAACAGAATGCTTACTTGAGTATTGTTCTGACTGATATTTTATTATACAGGGTTTCCCATTTTTACTTGCCCAGTAGGATATCTCAAAACTTGGCGAGGTAATCGAAAAATGTTTCAAACTAAAATTGTATGGTTCGGAGGGGGTCAACTTATGATACCCTCAAACTTGACCTTGAACTTGATTTTCAAGGTCATTTCAAGGTCAATATTACTTTTTTTAATAGAAACCCCTATTTTTTATTCCGGATTCAGATAGAGCGGGAAATTTTACGTTCAAATCATATAATATCTGTGGGGTCCAAATGACCGCCACCTCACCTCCAAAGTCATTTCGAGGTCAATCTTACTTTTTAAATGTTACCCCTCATTTTTCGTAACAGGTTTGAATTCTACGTGAAATTGTACGTTCAGATGATGGAATGTTTATGGAGTCCGAATGACCCCCCATCCCACCCCCAAAGTCACGAATTCAAAACTGTGACGAAAAATGAGGGTTCCCATTCAAAAAGTATGGTTGACCTTGAAATAACTTTGTGGGTGGGGTGGGGGGTTTTTCGGACCCTATATATATCGCATTATCTGAACGTACAATTTCACGTAGAATTCAAACCTGTTACGAAAAATGAGGGGTACCATTTAAAAAGTAAGATTGACCTCGAAATGACTTTGGAGGTGAGGTGGCGGTCATTTGGACCCCACAGATATTATATGATTTGAACGTAAAATTTCCCGCTCTATCTGAATCCGGAATAAAAAATAGGGGTTTCTATTAAAAAAAGTAATATTGACCTTGAAATGACCTTGAAAATCAAGTTCAAGGTCAAGTTTGAGGGTATCATAAGTTAACCCCCTCCGAACCATACAATTTTAGTTTGAAACATTTTTCGATTACCTCGCCAAGTTTTGAGATATCCTACTGGGCAAGTAAAAATGGGAAACCCTGTATAATAAAATATCAGTCAGAACCCGATGTCGTTAATGTAGCTATACCTTCAATCTACAAATACGTGTCTTAAGACGTAGACTTGATTAGTTATTCGTATCGAAAATCTGACAATTTATAATTATTGATATAAACATTTATTAGAAACACTCGGCGATTTAGCAGGCGCTCAATTTTAAGCAGTCGTGCCTATCAATTTCATTTTATATTATACTGGTACAGTTAATGAAATTATAACAAAATTGTGATTTAACAATTTTCATTATAATTATTAAGCGATAATTTTAAACTATATCGAACAACATAATAAAATTGCCGCTTTGTAATTATAATAAAAATTGTTAATTTACTTTTTTTAATTGCTAAAAAATTGATTTTAAAATAATCTCTAGGTTCTAGGTATGATCAGCAGCCTACTCGCATGTAAGTTTTACTTTTTGAGAAAATTGAGCAGGAGGAAAGGGAGAGTCATAGGTACAATGTGTACAGTATAGTGGTAAAGTATAAGGTGTCTAAATTCTTATGAATATTTATAAATTTTGTTGATGATGAACATAATTCTATTATTTATGCGATTTTAATTGGTTTTAAAAAATAAACAACTAACCTTATGAGCCCTGAGAGTCTTGCCTTCGCAAGCGAGGGTAACATCACAGTAAGCCTGGCGCTCCAACAACTGTGAGAACATAGTTTGTAAGTTACTATGATGATATTTCCACCTGAGGCAGTACTGCTGGGGGAACATATTGGCGTTGCCGTTGGTGGCGCCGCCACCGTTGGCCGCGGCGATGCCGCTGTTGCTACCAGTGATCGGTCCCGTATTTGTGACCGTGCCTGTGACTGCACCTATAGTGCCGTCAGCAGTATCTCCACTGGTACTTGTGAGGCTAGCACTCATCGAAGCCGGGCCTCCTGCCGCCACGGCCGCCGCCGCTTCTTGCAGCATAGGCCTGCGGATGGCAGCGTACAGCCGCCACCGCCGGCAGAGCTTTTGCTCGTTGAGGCCGCCACGGACGAAGCTGCGCCTACTTGCGCTTGCTTCGGCTGTCTGCTACAAACGATGACCGTAATTTCACTTATCTAGCACTCGCTCCGTTCAGGTGACACAGTTTTACTATTCTCTCTAGTGCATCTGCAAAAAACAAAGTAAATTGTACATAAATAATATATCTTTGATCAAAGCTTTAGAAACTCCAAAAAACGCATGCATGCACACACCCCCTTTTCTGTGGAGGTTATAAGACCTCAATCTCTAGGACGCAGTTTCCCTTTCCCCTCGGACTTGTTGGATCTCTCAGTGCATCCAATCTAGTCGGAGCCAAGTGAGGAGGCTTAAGCGATACACGAGTCAATAATACGTCACTTGTTAAAGTTATGATTGTATTGAAAATTAATAAATGATGGAATGTAGATAATCAGAAGTCAGAAATCCAAAACTAAATATTAGGTATAAAGTAGCACATGACATATAATACAAGGAAAATGGAAAAATAAGCTGGAATAATTTCATGTATGGATCTATACACGTGAGTTTATTCAAACGTTAGAATATAAAAAGCAGCGATGTTCTATTTTACCGTAAATATTGGTGAAAGTTCACGATACAACAAATGTTTGCACACACGCACACATACACACGCGCGTGCGTGCGAATTTTAATCCTATTTACGTTGAAATTAAGCTACTAGTTCGTGAAAAGACAAAAATTATGTTATGTTAATTACGTATCTTATAATAATGATGCATTACTTTAAAAAAATGTTATGTCATTAAATAATATATGATAAATAGTGCTTTGCTAGCATGTAGGTAACAGAATATAAGATGAATTAATATCAAAGAGCCCTAACGACAATACCCGGTAATCAGTATAATATTATAGCATTGAAAAGAAAATTCTTCGAAAAATTACAGTGGAGGCCACTGTAAATCTGGGATGTAAAGGACATTGACTAGATTTTATAATGATTTTGACTAATTTAAAAAAATTGTATTAAAAAATTAATTTTTTTAATACAATATAATAATGTCAGTATTATAAGAATTATTATAATACTGACACGATAATTTTTATTACTAATAATTTTTACAATGAAAATTTTGAAAAACTAAAGATTTTGCAAAAATATTTGCAATTACGCACATGAAAATTTATGATTTCGTCATGTAATTTTTATTCATCGATAACTGTAGAAACTCAGTTCAATCGGTACAACAGAGCGACTTCATAAGTGATAAATCAGTCAAGGTAAGTAAATCATTAAATTTTTTAATATTTCTTCTCAATATTTGTATCATGAAAATAGATTTTATAAGTCAGTTACCGTCCTAACCTAAAAACTCTTCTACTGTGCTTGGACTTTGAAACGCATGCATTATTTCTATATGTAATATAAAGTGCTTTGTTGTTATTGACTTTCTCTTTTGTAATTTGCTAGCGTCAAAATGGTATGGGAATGTATAGAGTAATTACACATGGATTTTTTGGTAGTTCCAAATAGCTTTATGCATGAGGTGGAATTTTATACTTGTTAGTAATGTGTAACGGAGAATCTTGGCTAAACCGATTTCGTCCGTTTGACTTTCGCCAATATCCGCCTGCCGCGCCAAGCTAAGAGTGTGCGTACCGTAGTACAGTGTACGGGCTGAACAGACAGATGAAGCGATCGGGATGGCGCGGAAGATAGATTAGATTAGTTCGTTTATTGCGCCAATGAGGTGGAACCCCGTCTGGCAGTTTGGAAAATGTACATAACAAAATAATAATAAAATTTAAACATGACAAAAGAGGAGATGCAAGGATGAAAAGTGACGCATTTAACTATTTGAAGAAGATGAATTACGTGAAACTGTATGAGTAGTATATACGGTGAGCAGCGAGTTTCCAATGGCATTAACAGTAAACACTAAGAGTATATATGTAAAAATAAAAATAGAATAAAAATGAAAATATAGTAAAATAAAATATATAAAGAACAATATAAATGAGTTATCAGATAAAACGACAAAGTTAACAATAATAAAAGATGAAAAATAATACTAAGATAATAAAGACAATAAAGGTAATAGAAAACAATAAAAATAGTAACAACAACAAAATACTAAAAGTAGTAAAAAATAATAAAAATAGCAAGAGTAGTGAAGACGCGAATGGCACCTGTTTTACAGAAGGAAGGTCTGAAAAGAGGAAAGGTATAAAGGTGGATCGACGTGCGTTCGGCTAGAAAATAACCATTCAATTAGCTATTTCATGAACCATAGGTCGATAGAGGGGTAAGTGTGGGACGATGGATAATTTTGGGAGAACGCGGCTGGATTGACCCTGTTTGGTATGCGAGTATAATCGGACAGTGCCGGTACCGGCATTAACTTCTCGCGAGTCGCCCTCTCAATCCATGCTCTAGCCTCGTAGTTTAAGAATAGATCACGGGTCCAATCCCTAAAGTTAGGGATCCGATCGGTGGAGAACAGGGTCACGCTCAGTGAGTTGAGTATTCTCTGAGCAAGGATAGCAAAGGAATGGTTCCATGCCTCAGTTCGAGGGGCCTTGTATTCAAACGCCGACGGCGGGTGGCGACCCGAGCGCCGGATAATGACACCATCGAGCAGGACAGACAGGTTTTTAGCCAGGTAGTGCGGCGATTTTCTGGACACAACAGAGTAGGCCAGAACGGCAAGGGCTCTATACCTATTTGGGGTGAGGAATAGCCAGCCCAGGGCTAGTCTATGGTGCGTGATGTGGCTGTTTAAGGATAGAGAAGGTATGAAAGGGATCCATCCTATTACGAAGCGTACGCAGACGTTTTGTGCAACTTGAAGCTTAGACGAGCGCTCTCCATCAAGCTGAATACAAACCACTGAGAGGTAATCGAAATGTGGGAAAACGAGTTGCTCGACAAGAACTTTTCTGAGGGTAGTCGAGAGAGATTTCCTGTGGAAACGAAGTGAAGCCAGATAGCTGTATGCCCTCCTCGTCACGCTTCTCACATGTTCGGACCAGTTTAACGTGGGAGTAAGTGTCACGACCAGATTACGAGCACTGGTAACATAGTCGAGTGGAACCTCGTTGATGGTGATCTTCACGATGTCATTCAAGTTGATAGCCCTAACGTACTGTTCGCTGCCCAGTATCATGACCTTGGTCTTAGTGAGGTTCAGGGAGATACCGTTTCCTAGTGCCCAATCCGCTATAGCCTGCACATCAAGCTGCACCCTCCCCAAAGCCTCCGCAAGGCTGCTAGGATGACAGTGAAGATAGACCTGCGTGTCGTCGGCATATAGAATATAGTTCATGAAGGAGAGAACAGAGGGCAGGTCCGAGATAAAGATTGCAAATAGCAATGGTCCCAGAATACTACCCTGCGGTACTCCAGTAGCAACCCTGAGCCAATCCGACACCCTGACATCCTCCCCCATAACAGCCTGAAACCTGTCAGTCAGATAGCTAAAAAACCATCCCAGGACAGTGTCAGACAGGCATAGGTCCCTGAGCTTGACCATCAGACGACCATGGAGGATAACGTCGAAAGCCCTGGAGAAATCCAGCAGGACGAAGATTGTAATTTTACGCTCCTCAATAGCCCTGCGGACGTCATCCAGGACACCCAGGAGAGCTGTCTGGGTGCTGTGAAACCGCACGAAACCCGCCTGCCGTGGATCACGCAGCTTGTGGCGGTCCAGGTAAGACGAGAGTTGTAAATGAACGAGCCTCTCAAGCACCTTTGATACCTCAGATAACCTTGCTATCGTCTGATGTCCGATAAAAGAGCGGGCGAAGGTACTTTGGCAAGAGGGGTGATGAGAGACCGTTTCCAGGAGGTAGGGAAGACGCCGCACAGTAATGATTTGTTGACAAGATGCGTGAGAGATGAGAGACAAGAAGAGGAGACGAGTTTAAGCATCTTGACAGACAAACCATCAGGACCGAATGTTCTGGATGTGGACGAGTTTAGTGCATCCATGACCTCCTGGCAAGTGACCTCACGAAAATTGAATGAGGAGTGGACGTGAGGAGCGTTTGGGGGACTCGCTAAAAGGGCGTCCAAAAAGTCACGTGTCAATGGAGGGGACGAGTTGACTATGTTGGCAAAGTGGGTGTTTAGTACGGCTGGAGAAAAAAATTGAAACGGGGATGGAAGAGCGCGCCTTGTGACTCCCAAGTTTCGTAACTCTTTCCATCTGGCCTTGCTAGTGGCTGCGGAAGACAGTCTGCCTGAAATGCAAGAATTTTTTGCAGAGTCGAGGGCATTTGAGACATCGTTGCGTAGTCTTCGATACCCAGCGACGTCATTGCCCGAGCGGGAGGAGGATGCCAGTTTATAGGCAGCGTCACGCTTTTTCATAAGCGCAAGAATGCTCGGAGTCACCCAGGGTTTACGCCTAGAAGACAACTTGATGCACCTAAGAGGGGCTACCTCGTCAAAGGATTTTATGAGGACTTCAGTGAGAGAGTGCACCAAGTTGTCAAGGGGATGCACGTCGGCTTCGATCGACGGGTCGAAAGAGTGCTGCAGTCGTGTTGAAGAAATGTCGACCAGGTTCGAGAGAAGGCCCCTGAGGGTCCCATTTAAGGCCGCTTCGTCCACCCGATTCAAACTGCGGGACCTAATGACTCTGGTGATATGATTGTTAGTAGCGAAGCGATAGGTGAGCGAGATGAAATCATGACCAGCAATAAAAGGAGTATCAGACTTTCCAAATGTCTGGATAGCATTTAGGTCTTTCACTATGAAGAGGTCAAGAGTAGTGTGGGAAGGGGGATTTGTATCAAGACAGTGATGAGTGAGAGCAGTGGATACGAAGTGGAGGTTGTGCAGGTCAACGAGAGATCTCAAAGCTCGAGCATCCGGCAGAGAGCTGGAACCTAGGTCTGCGTTAAAATCACCGGTAATGATGACATTTCCGTACAGAGGGAGGTAAGTGGCCAAGCAGTTGAAAAAGTGTGTGGGAGAACAAGCAGAGGGACGTCTGTAAACCACCGCCATCAAAAGCTTGGTGTTGTCGGACTTTATTTCACCCAGGATGAATTCAGGCGTGTTATCGAAAACAGAATCTGAAGTAACTAGAAAACTGAATTTAAAGTGAGATCTGACGTACAGACCAACACCGCCACCCTGCTTTCCAATTCGGTCA